GTTCGGTGTAAATAATTCAACCTGATCACCCTGCTTGGAAATATTTTGCAATTTTATATCATCAGAGTGCGACCAGTTTTTTGTTACCACTCAGAAGAGAATTCAAGATACTTTTCATTATTAGTAATAGTAGCATTATTATTAGGTCTACTTTTGCAGATGTCTCTATTTCTTAATAGTATGGTAATGTCATTTTTAACACTTGAAGAGATTATTTTTGTGTATATAGTTAAAACTCTTATATCTCATGTTGATAACTTGTTAGAGCTGATTTTTATTCAGAATGTGAGTTGTTAATTAGATTATATTCTTTAACACAGATATAGGAAACAAAGACTCAACCCAAAGAGGGACATGGCTTTATATATTTATTGCATGGTATATGCAATTCGCTCTTTACATTTTGCTCATGGTCTTTTTTTATATATGTGTATTTGTTATAAATCAATTCAAGAATATACGTCAAATAAGAAGTCATCATTGTTAAAACTACTTGTGTCCACAGATTAAATATTAGTTACAAAGTCTTTGGCTATAAGTGGCCTTTAAACCAAAGCTCTGGAGTTAAGTTTCTGGGTGGCTGGCCCTGGGCAGCGATCTGACTGCATTCCTTAGTCAGGTTACATCTCTGCAAACAGAGACTGGTTCACACCTTTAGTCTCTCTTCCTGCGTCCCATTCACTCTCACACGTTGGCACTGAGCTGATCCCTTTGATTTTATTTTGCCCCCTGAGAAAATGGACACCATCCGAAGAGATCTCTGCTTTCTCCCCATCACAGATCTCCCGCCTCGTGCACCTTCTCCCTCCATCTCTGCACCCCTTCTGCCCAGTGCGCCGATTGTCCCTGCAACACAACAGCCAGTGCTCACTGCCTGGCCGTCAGCTCACGAGTGCACAGCCTTGCCTCTCTCTCCCCCACAAGGAGTTTGCTCTGATGAGGATTCTTCCTTCTCCTGCATGCTCATTGTCCCCAGTCTCTTCTGGGCCATTGTTTTGTTGTTGTTGGTACTTGCCCCTAGTGGGAACCGAACCCGGGTCTCTCCGGTCCGCAGGCCCATGCTCCAATTGCTGAGCCAAACCGGCCAAGGCTTCTGGGTGATTCTTGAACACATAGCCTTGAACAACTAGCCAGAGATTTCAGCAACCTGGGTTTGTTTGAGAACAACAAAGAATTACTCTTCAGGGCATATGGTGTCATGATGAACCACACCCGAGCCCATAGGAACAAAGGATACGGATGGTCTTTGCTGAACTTGGAAAGGGCTGTTGTAAACATCGACTCCATTGGAGGAAACTGAAGACTTGAAGCAGAGAGACTTTTCATTGGCTGAGCTATGGCACTCTCCCATTGGCTGAGCTGTTACTGGGCCAGGGGGAAGCCTTTCTTGCTGCTCAGGTAGTAATGTGGCATCTCTTCCTGTTGGGGGCAGTAGTGTGCATTGAGTGACCTGTGCGTGTCCTCTCTCTGGTCTCCCCACTCCATGTTAAGCGAGGTGTCTGTTAACTGATTTTTACAATGAGCATGCGCGTGCTAGAACATCCTCTGGTTTTTAGAACACCTTTCTTCAATATCATACACTGTTCTGAATGCTGCCCATTTTCTACTTCCAATTAGAACAAAATCCCTGAAAAGCCTTATCTGTGCTCACTGTATCCTCTCCCCCCTTCCCCCCTGCCTTCCCCTTTCTCCCCACCCTCTCTGTCAGACCACCATGCCCACCCCGCACTGCAGCTGTTCTCGGGAGGGTCACCAAATGCCTCCACTTGGTCAAAGTCAAAGGACACCTCCCAGCCGTCGTCTTTAATCTCTCAGCACACTGGACGGTGTTGACCGGCCCTTCCATCGCAATATGGTGTCTTGGCTTCCAGACGGCACCTCTCTTACTTTTTCTCTTATCTCACTGACCACTCCATTAGCCTCCTTTGCTGCAGAGGCCTCCTCCTGACCTCGAAAATGGGGTGGACCTCAGGGCCCAGTTCTCGGAGCTCTTCTGCACTCACCCCTGGTTCATTTCATCACGTTTCAGCCATGCGAGACCACGTACCGAGCCACACTCAACTCCTGTGCAGACTTGTGTCAGTCTTGACGTCTCTGTAAAGATGCACACGTGTGACACAGACAATCCAGAACTCTGTCTCGACGTCTCTGTAAAGATGCACACATGTAACACAGACGATCCAGAACTCTGTCTCGACGTCTCTGTAAAGATGCATGCATGTAACACAGATGATCCAGAACTCTGTCTCGGTGTCTCTGTAAAGATGCATGCATGTAACACAGATGATCCAGAACTCTATCTCGACATCTATGTAAAGATGCATACATGTAACACGGACAATCCAGAACTCTTGATCCCCTCCAAAACCAGCTTCCCCCCTCAGTGTTGCTCCTCTCAGGAATGGCACCACCATTCACCTGGGTGGTTAGGACAACAACGTTGGCATCATCTTTACCTGCCTTATTTTCTTGTAGCAACACACCCCACACTCAGCTGCAGAGCACACGTAAGGTCGTCTTCACTGCCGTCTCTGGAATCTGAGCCTGGGTCACTGCGCAGGTGATGTCCTCATTTCTGCTCCATCCCTGCTCCTCTGTTAGCACCGAGTGGGCTCTGTCCCTTTAAGGCCATTTCCTTTATTAATAACCTGTAGGGCCCCACCCCATTTAGAGTAGCATCCAGAGTCCTTGCTGTGATTGTTAAGGCGAGACCCTGCCTACCCCACCTCCAGCCTCTCTTCCTTTCCCTCTCTCCTTGGTGTGTTCTCAGCCACCTCATCCTCTGCCAGCTCCTTGAACACAGCAGGGCGCCCCCTTCTCCCTGCCTCTGCAGCTCCTGTTTGCTCTGGCTGGACTACTCGTCCTCCCCCTTCTCATGCCCACCTTCCTCTGTGGTTGAGGTCTGTGCTCAAGGGGCACCCGCTGACACATTCTTCCTACAGCTTCCCGTGTCACCTGAGTTTTTTTTCTTAACTTTTTTTACTTTATTGATTTTAGAGAGAGAGGAAGTGAGAGGGAGAGAGAGAGAGAAACATCGATGAGAGAGAACATTGATTGGCCTCCTCCTGCATGCCCACCACTGGGGATCAGGCCCACAACCCAGGCATGTGCCCTGACCAGGAATCGAACCAAGAACATTTTTTGGTGCATGGGTCGATGCTCAACCACTGAGCCACACCGGCCGGGCACAGTTTGGTATATTCTTATGCACCTGTTTGTTCATGGCTGCTGCCTCCATTCACATGGATGTTCTCAGGTCAGGGGTCATGTCTGCTCCACTCAGGGTGGTCACCCCTCACGTGAAGGTCACTGCTTCACAGAGAGCAGAGGCTCAATGAATGTGTATCGAATAAATTAGTGAATTATTGATGAACTCAAAACCCTTACAACAAATTGATGGAACATGTAACCTAATTCTTCCGCTCTCATCACTGGTCGCTCATTAACCTCAGCTCACAGGCGGGCTCTCCTGAGTTGGAGAATACACAAAACTCACGGGAGGTAAGATTATGTATAGAAGAAAGCAGACAATGAACCCTGATATTTGTTTTTCTTGTTTTTATCTCTTCTCCTTTACCGATTAGCCTCTAGTCATCCTTGGTCATCAGGAGCTTAGATTACAATAAGAATATTTCTAGAAATTACCTTATAGTAGCCCTTAAGTTATTCTAAGGGAAATTCAAATTAGTCTAATAAAATAATAATAATAATAATGATGATGATGATGGCCCAGCCGATGTGGCTCAGTGGTTGAGCGTTGACCTGTGCACTGCAGAGGTCACCGGTTCAGTCCCCAGTCAGGGCACAGGCCCAGGTTGTGGGCCCCATCCCCAGTCGGGACCATGCAGGAGGCAGCCAATTGACGTTCTCTCTCGTCGATATTTCTCTCTCTCTCTCTCCCTCCCCCTTCCTCTCTCCCTGAAGTCCATAAAGAAAAATAAAATAATAATAATGACTGACAGTTAGAAATTGCCAGGACCCATAAGGAACCTTATTTACATTGTCTCTGATCTTCATCGGAAAACCCGTATCCCCATTTCACCGATAAGAAATATAAATGCTGAGTCAGTAGGTGATTTTGCTGAAGCCACAGAGCTTGGTTCCGTGCCTCTGAGTTGCTGACTAGCCTCAGAACAGACTCTGAGAGGATACGTTCATTCAAGTCATCCCTGTTGGGGAACAGGATGTAATAAGCAGAGTCATCTTGTCAGGTCTTTTCAGTAGAAGAGGCTTTAGGGCGACTCATTTCTCTCGGGCCCTCTGGAGCTGCTCACATAGATTCCCCTGATGGATTGCATCCAGCAGGTGCGCCGGACTCAGGACAGGTTCGCCTGCGATGCAGGCGGGCTGAGGAGAGCAACAGTACACCCGCCTCGCCGTGTCTTTGCATAAGGACAAAGTCACGGCGAGAAGGGGCAGCCGACGGGCACGCAGGAAAGTGTAGCTGTGGTGTTCGCACAGGTGAGAGCTAAGGCTGGGCCGCGCCGATTTCAGCCCTTCCTGTATGTTGATCATTGCAGAAGAGTAGAATTATAGCACACCTTCCTCAAGAGGACGAAAACAAAAAGACCCGCTGCGTTCAGGAGTAAGACTGTATTAAAGGGGCGATGGGGAATATGGGAGAAGGAAGAGACTGTATCCTTCCCGGTCTGTTTGCCTGATGATGGAGCAAAGGTTCCATTCGGAAGGTGCTTGACTCTGCTTCTCTATCCCTGCGTCTGCGGCCAGAGAGACAGGCGTCCAGGAGGGGCTGGGCTGCTCGCGCACTGTCTGTCCGTTTGGGGGCTGGCTTTGGAGAGTGAGATCCTACAGCAACTGTGCTGCGAGGGACCATAGGAAAGTACGCCGTTCAGGAACGAACATGTTAAATGAAATGGACCATGTTTAACATCGTTGTTGATCCTGAGGAACAGTTTTTCCAGTATATGGAGCATTTCGCTCCATCCGGCATATGTTAGCCGCGGTTTTCTCTGCTCTAATTCATCTGTGTGTCTCGACAGCTCCAGATGGCCTGCTGCCTCCCAGGCTTTTAGCTGCCACTCCGACCAGTCTTCAGGTTGTCTGGTCTACACCAGCTCGGAACAACGCTCCCGGCTCGCCCCGGTACCGACTCCAGATGAGGCCTGGCCACGCGTCCCGTGTGCTTCTAGAGTGAGCATCTGACTCCCTGCGCCCTCTCGCTGGCTCCCGGGTGGCACAGCGCAGCCACGACGTGGTCTCTCCTCCCGTTTGTAAAATCTAATGTATGGGGGAAGCACTGCTTCATAACCTTATATAAACTGCCCGGGTTTGAGCAATAAGTCGGTTGTCATTTGCAAACAAAGGCCCCCTTTTAAAAGTCCACCAACACACAAGCAACACCTTCGGACATAATGATGTGCTTTGTAAACATATCTCCTTTTCATTCTGAGATAAGATTTCCTCGCGCTTGCTTTTCCATGAGCACGTGGATCACACAAAGCAAGCACTCGGACCCCTCAAAACGCTGTCTGAACGGTGGCTGCAAAATTGTCATCTTTTTCCAGCAAATCCCACGTAGCAGTCATTCACAGCCCTAGACTAGAATGTCCTCCTCGGTACCACTATAATTTTCAGCTCATAGAAATGCAACGGGCTGGACCCTCAGAAGATGGCTACTTATTTTCCCAGAGTTATCATGTGACGACAGAAAGGTGAAACACTTAAGGGCTTGCTCACATTCTCTGAAAAGTCTGCGCCATCAGATTTTATTCTTTTTTCCCGTCCCTGCGAATGTCTAAAACTTTCTAATTAACATGTGTTCCCTATAGGTTATTTTCCAGTCCTTCTGCATCGTTAAGCCACGAAGTGAGCGATCTCCAGCCGCACACGGGGTACGAGTTTCGGTTGGTTGCCTCCAATGAATTTGGCAGTGCGCTCAGTCCTTGGATTCTGTTCATGACGACAGAGGACAGTAAGTGGTCTGAGCACTGCCCAGCCAAATGTCCTCCCCACTGGGGAGTCTTGAATGTCTTTTCGTTTCTCCCAAACACAGAAATAAGCCTTCTCCACGTGCTGGACATGTAGTGACAAGGACCTTTTGTAGGGCGAGGGTTGTAGGACTTTCCAGAAGGAAGACAAGGGGGGCTTGGAGGGTCGGAGGACTGGGCGTCCGGACAGAAAGAAGCAAGGCGCCGTGAAGGGTGACGTGGCCCCATTCTGTCTGTCAGGGGGCAGCCACGTGTCCTGCAAGAGAAAGGTCTCCATCCCGTAGTCTGTGACCAAATGGCACCGTTCTCTGCTTTGGAGGGATTCTCACGGGGAGAAGACCATGAAATATGGGACTAATTTTAGGAGGATGCTTAGAGCACCATTATACCTTTTCCTGGAAATAGATTTTATCGTACTTTTTTGTTGTTAATCCTCACCGAGGATAGTTTTCCATTGATTTTTAGAGAGGGTAGAAGGGAGGGAGGGAGGGGAAGAGAGAGAAAAACATTGATGTGAGAGAGACACATCGATTGGTTGCCTCCCATATGGCCCCAACCGGGGCCGAGGATTGAACCTGCAACCCAGGTACGTACCCTTGACAGGGATCCTTCGGTCTTTAGGGCCAACACTCTGACTGCTGAGCCAAACCATCCCAGGGCTCATAGTACTTTTATTTGCACTTGACAGACAGCCTTCTGAATAGAAAAGTATAATCTAATAACAGTGATTCTGCATCTTATACATGGAATAGATCGGATTGCTTTATTCAACCAAGAAAAGAGAAGTTTCTGGTTTTCCATGGAAGAGTTCTGTTTGCATATATATGTGTTGTTACTAGGTTATATATAGGAAATAAACACATGGGTATATTTAGTTTTATACAAATTACCTGTATAAAAGCATGCCTATGGAAGTATAATTTTTTTTTTGGAGAAGCTGTAAATCAATCAAGCTACACAGATTGAACAAGGACACTGTCTTTGAACAGTGGGGATTTTAGGGTTAATCCCATGAAGTCTTTTAATCAAGGGCTTCTTAGAAGATGTTGTTCTGTTCTGTTGGCCAATGGCCATTCTAGCCCTGTGTCCAGTGAGGACTAGAGTGACTTTCACCAGGCTAGATATTACTCCAAAGACAGAGAATTTGCAACAATACTTACTGTTTATTGAATAGATTGTTCTAGTTCTATAGTATCCTTAGCCACACTGTTGTAGTGAGGATACGACTTCAAATGAGATAGAATCAGAACCATTTGCCTTCCTCGGCGCTTACTCTGTTTTACAAACGTCTGTTTAAACAATACATGCTAATATCCCCTTGCAACTTGCCTGCCTCACCCTTGATCCTGAAGAAGGCAGGGAAGGAATTGCTCTGGGAGGTGTCCACTGACCCCCGAGCCCTGGGCAGCGGCCAGCAGGGTTCTGCCCTGAGCGGTCCCAGCCTCTGCGTTCAGGAGACAGGGCATGAGGATGAGAGGCAAGTACGAGAGTAGGAACCCCCAACACCACGCTCCTTGGCCTCGGTCAGAGGCAGCCTGTTGGCTTCCCCTTGACTCCCTCTGGCCATCTTGACCAGGATAACGGACGTCCTAATTAGAGAGGCTTCTGCTAGCCCCTGACCATGTGCTCTTTCAACATGAAGTGGGGAGGGGGAGAGGGAAGGAACTCCAAAAGGAAAACCATCTTCCTTGTTCTTCTTCTCGCCACCTGTAGTGAGAGTCACACACGTTGCGTTCGTCACAGGGACGGGAAGCAAACATGTGGAATAAGATCTGATTCATGGATGAAGATAAGGCTGGAGCAGAAGTTTCCCAGTAATTGATGTGTAGTTGTGCCCTTGAGAATATTTACATTTTAAAGCGTGGCAAACGTCTTTTTATTCGTGTGTTTTAGAAGTTCAAGTTTCAGCCTGCGTGTTAACAGTGTCCTGCTTGGCCGGAGCAGCTCAGTTGGTTGAGCTTTGTCCTGTGCATCTAAAGGTCGCCGGTTTGATTCCCGGTCAGGGCACGTCCCTGGTTTCAGGTTCAATCCCCGGTCAGGGCACCTTCCGAAGGCAACCGATTGATGTTTCTTTCTCACACTGATATTTCTCTATTTTTTTCCTCTCTCTCCCTTCCTCTCTCTAAGCGTGTCCTTGGTGAGGATTAAAATATACACACATATTTTCTTGTATTTAATGAGGGGATTGGACTCCGAGTTTCAGCAGTGAGGCACAATTATTTTGCTTTCTCTCTTCCACATATGTTTGCGAATTGCTTTAAATATTAACTTCCAAAGGCTGACATGTTTATCCTTTCAAGCAGTGTCTGGGTATGGATCTATTTTGGCCGTAGCCGAAGACTCGTGACGTCAAGTGAATGATTCTGTCTGCTGCCTTTGAGAGCACACGTGCTGTGTATATGTCACCACAAATTTCCTTTCCTGGGGCAGACCCCCCCTCAGATTCCTGCATTTCCAGAATTAGTTCACGCAAATATTTATACTTTTGCATTCTTGTCATTAGATCCTAAGATCGAAAGCTACAAGTGAGCCACAGAAAACCCTTTGAAAGGATGGGTTAATTGAAAGATGAAGTCTGCCCGCCTGGCCTCAGGTCCCCTCCTGAGCTTTCAGAGACCATCTCTTTGGGGCCCATAAGGCACCCCACCCTCCCCGAACCGGAACCTCGAGTTCTTTACGGACTTTTTTTCTGCCTTCCTGAATCCTCCCGTCCACATATTCAATCGTCTTTCCTAAACTTTCAAGGAAGCCCATGGACTAAACACTATGCCCTGATTTCGGAAGACAAAGCATTCTTATTCATTTATACTGTTTAGTCCGGATCTCAGGAGAAATGGACAAAAATAGTGTCTAATATTGTTTCTTCTACCTTCAGACTATCAAGTGGTACCCTCTCATTTCCACACCTACTGGCCTTCGGCTGCTTCTGGGGGGACCTGTGTTTCTCTTATTTCATTGGTTGTCTGTCCTTAATATTTGTTTTGGGATACAGCTACCAAGCCCTTTCCATCACCATAAGATTAATAATTTCTTTATCTTTATTTCATCGGTCCTATTGCATTTAAGTCTTTTATTATGAGCTGTCAGAAATCCTGTTGGCAGGTAGTCGGGGTATAAATAATAAATTGATAGGAAGATTTCGTGATTCGAGGGACAGTAGAATTCATCACTCTCCTCTTCTGCTAACACATCAGTGGTGAATCTCCAAAGGCCACATTAACAATTAGCATATAATATATTGCCCTGCGTAATTATACATCCATATATTTGCCACCTCGGTTTTTAATTCATTGGCAATTTTAGGAGATATTCATTGGTGGAGTTCATATTGCTAAAAAGAGCTTTTAAACTGAGTGAGTTTTTAATTAGAATGGTAAAAAGTTGCTTCAGGGCAAGCACGAGGCCATAGCAGGGGAACTGAGCGATCGTGGGGGGTTCTAACAGCCAGCCAGTGTGAAAGACCTGTGGACACCACTGAAGGTCACACACACGCTGAAGGTGTGTGCACGCATGTGTGCACACACCCTTCCCAGCACACACACCTGAGTGTGAGGATAAATAGGCCCCTTCGTTAACAACTGTGTCCCTCTGCCGTGGCTGGGGCTGAACTTCTGAGGCTGATGAGCACCACAGAGCCTCATAAAGGCTCATTTCATTGGCCCGAATGAAACGACTTTGTGTTGTTGATGCTGTAATGAGGTGGCCTGAACTCGGAGTCAGGGATCTGAGCCCAGAGGATGCCCCGCTCCTGGCTCCGGGAGGGGGGTTCTCTGGACGATCCCCCCAGGCAGAGGGCTGTGCGGTCGCATTTTTGTCACCAGCCGGCTGAGCTGTGTGGCTGTCATACTTCCCGGTGTCCCCACCAGTGACAGCCGCATTGACAACATGTTATACCCCGCATCGATTTTACCGTTAAGGGGCTGCGGGTGATATATAGGGATTTTAAGAATTCAGCTGAGAGGCTGACTTTTGCCTTTTATCATTCCATTAAAATTTTATCACCGTCTTTTTCATGTCATTTCACCCATGAATTCTTACTTTAGGAAGTGATGGCTACTGCGGGGAGCATAACTTTCCCCGTGTTCGGAGCTTTTTATTGTATTAGCAAACTACCCCAATTATAGTTATTACCCGTGTTTTACATAATTGGGGCGACCCTTTCGGCCACGCCGCAGCCTGCCCGTTGATTTGTGCAGAGAGTTAGAGGGTTCGGCTCCTCCTGTTCAAGCAGAAACTTGAGGCTGTGCCAGGCGCTGGGTCTTAACCCTTTCCTGGCCAGAAGCTCACTAAGCTGCCCTGGGCTCCCCCTCCAGAGTCACAGGAGCTTACGGACCCTTCTTGCAACGAGAGCAGGGAACCGGCTCGGCGAGAGCGGGGAGGTAATGCAAGGTGCGGGCTTGTAAGGGGGGAAACCATGAAACTGAAATTGAACGTCTCTTCTCTCCCAAGATAAGAGACGTGCGTGAAAGAAAGCCTGTGTTTTGTGCGGGTGCGAAGGAGGAGTTCATCTCATTATCACGGCTGTCTCACCTGTAACACTATCATCACCTCCTGCAGCAGTGAGACGCGTGTCCCCTCGTATCAGAACAAGCCACCTCGCCGTGGCCGCGTCTCCCTGGAGGGGCTCGTAGGCTGATGGTGCCCAGATGAGAGACAATTATGCAAAACTCTGGGAAAATCCTAATAGAAAACATTCTGGTTTGTAGTGTACGCTACTCTTTTTTTTTTCTTTTTTGTGGGGGAAGCGTGAGATACAGTTAGACATGAAAAGCTTAGATGCAGTATGGCTCTTACGGACCCCAATCTCCAAGGGCTCCGTTTTCCAAAACAGCGTTGCTCTCTTAGAAGGTTCGCGCTTTTCTTTGGGAAATTGCCAAGGTCGGATGACACGTACAAATGAGAGAGGATTCCCGTTTTGATGTAATAATTGCCACTTGTGCTGCATACCGGAGGGCAGACGTTAGAAATGTCACCGTGGTTTTAGGAAACCTTTAGCACGGCAGCTAACAACAGACGAAAACGAAAAAGGGGATCCTGATCGAGGGGCCTGTACTTTTAGGATGTTTCTCTTCAAGCAGGATGCACTTGCCCATTGTCAGAAATGTCTTGGTGTCAGGGTTGCTGCTCTATGACATGTTTCCTCTCAAAAAAAGGAATTATGATTCGGCCATCAGTCCAATTGGTGACATACACGTGGATCACGCTGAGTGACACTGTGCTCATGTCACCAGCTCCCTTGTAGCCACTGGTTCTGCGAAGGAGCCATTGCATTTAAAACTTAAATCTTGAGTGTAACACTGAATTGCATATACACACACACCCATGCATGCACACACACACGTATACACACACATCTAATCAATGCTGTTTTGAAAAATTACTTAATCCAAGTATATCTTTTATAAAGATTTTCAATAAAATCTAATGTTCACAGAAAAAAAAAAAATCTCATAAATGTCAGCATTGCCGTGGGCAGAAAGGGGGACTAGGGTGTATTCTTGATCTGTTGTAGCAATTTATAGATTCCAGGCCGTGGTTTATAAGAATGCTAAATGTTCTGGAATTACAGCTGTTACTGATCACTGATTGAGCGGATTTGTGTTATTGCGCCGTGTTCGGGCTTGTACCTAGAGAGCAGTAAAGCCTCCGTATAATAAAAAGCACCTGCATTTTAAATGAAATTTCAATTGAAAAACTTAACAGCCCTTCAAATTGCAGAATTTAACGCAGCCCAGTAAAGCTTAAATAACACTTTGCCTCGGCGGGCCGCAGGGTTTGCATTCAAGGTGACTTGATTGTGTCGCCTGGCGAAATTATTTACAATTAAGGAATTTCTCTGGAGGGCTGCTGAATATTTGCTGTTCCACAACACCTCCGCGGGCATATGGTGGGCCTTTTTCAGTATTCATGGGGCCTCCTGAACCTTTATGATAATTGAATCAGTTATTGTGCTGAGTGGTGCAAGCATAAAACCTGCTACCTAAAGGTCAGCCCTGTGCATTGTTTATTTATCACGAGGTGAAACCTCCATCGGCAGCTTTTGTCGCAGTCGGGGTAAAAAATCACCTATAATATTAACAGGGAGTAGATAAATTGCAAGACCCAGGTGAGAATGATAAACAGAGGCGCGCAGACGGAGGAATACGTAATGAGCGGTGCGGGGAGTGTTCCCGTGCTGTCAACGCCGCGACTGGGTTATGAGAGTCTTATCGATTATAGTCCGTCACCGGGGCTCCTGGGGGCTGGGAAACGGGGGGGAAGTTAGAACTTCGGTTATGACTGCCCGCGTGTCTGCTTCTCCTCTACTGTCCTGATTTCCAAAATGTCCTCGTGCTATTTCAAAGCATTAGCCTTAAGAAAAAGAAGTGATTTGGCCCTGGCCAGTTTGGCTCAGCAGTTAGAGCCTATGGTCCACAGAGACCCGGGTTCGGTTCCCGCTAAGGGCATGTACCTTGGCTGCAGTTTGTCCCCGGCCCTGGTCGGGTCGTGTGGGTGGCGGCCACTCGATGTGTCCTTTTCACATCGATGTTTCACTCTCTTCCTCTCTCTCCTTCCCGCTCTATCTGAATAAAAAATGGAAAAAATGTCCTCAGGTAAGGATTAAAAAAAAAAAAAGAAAAAGAAGTGATTTGGGGACTGTCACTTTAGAAAAGAAAAGGTCACTTAGTTCAGTGATAGTCATCAAGTCCGTCACGTAGGTTTATGAGCAGAGCAGCCCCGGCCATGAGTTGTGCAGACGTGTATTGACTCGTTGGCTTTTTCCCAGGGGGTCCTGTTCCATATTCCTACAGGACAGTTAGCTCTCATTCTAGCTGTTCCTTCAGGGGAAGTTGGGAGTTTTCAAGAGCCATCACTTTTTTGGATTTATTCAACTTTCTAGGGCCTGGACCCATCGACCCTCCCATCCTCCTGGACGTGAAATCGAGAACAATGTCGGTCACTTGGTGGCACCCTGTAAGGAGCAACGGGGTCATTACGCATTATAATATTTATCAGCACGGCCATCTCTTTCTGAAAACTCCTGGAAATGTCACCAACTGCACAGGGACGCGGTTACAGCCACACACTGCGTATGCGTTCCAAGTGGAAGCCTGCACTTCCAAAGGGTGCACCCTCTCCCCGGAGTCCCAGACTGTATGGACACTCCCCGAGGCACCGGGAGGTATCCCCAGCCCAGACTTGTTCTCTGATACCCCAACATCTGTGATCATATCTTGGCAACCCCCCACCCACCCCAACGGCTTGGTGGAGAACATCACGATTGAGAGAAGAGTCCACGGGGAAGAAGAAATCACGACGCTGGTGACTCTCCCAGGAAATCATTCCATGCGGTATATTGACAGGACGACTTCTCTCAGCCCGTGGACAAAATACGAATACCGGGTGCTGATGAGCACTCTCCACGGGGGTACAAACAGCAGTGCTTGGACAGAAGTGACCACCAGACCCTCACGACCTGCTGGGCTCCAGCCACCCAAGGTGCATGTGCTCGGGCCTGAAGCAGCCCAGGTAAGAGGCTGAGCGTTCTGTGTTCTCTGCAGACTTTGGAATTTACCCGGGGTTGACTCTGCATTGAACAGAGCCATCTACTGACAAAAGGCACACATTTGTTGTTTTAGGCATTCACTGGAGAAATGGGGTTTTGGCCTTTGGCCCAAACTAGCTTGCATGCAATGTCAGTTTTTCATTTCTCCCTGTACCCCCTTAATTATATCGATGAGACGCCTTTACTCGCCTCGCACACCTGGACAACTTTTGAGTGGCACAAGGGGATGCTTAGCTTCACCACCACGTCCGATTTAAACAGATCAGAAAATGAGAAGGGACAGAAAAGGCAGGGAATGGATTAGCCTGTTAACAAAAGTTCCGATGACCAGACTCCTGATTTTTCTTAATGATCAAAGAATCAAAATGATGGGGGAAGAACGAAAAAGAGCGTGTTAGGGGGAGATCCAGAAAGCGTTCAGTTATGAGCCTCGTCCTACTGGGAATGAGCTCCCGAGGACAGGCTAACTACCATTGTTTTGGCTTGCATACAAACTTCATTCAAGGGAAATTAGTGTAACCAAACAGGAGGGAGTTTTGTGGCATCGAAGCCTCCTTTGTGTAAATACACACATGCTTCTATGCCTTCGGTCTTGTCCTACTGCCAAAAGCGTCGGTACAGTAGCTTGCTCACCAGAGCACAAAACAAAGGATATTTGCATAACAGCAAAGTTCATCTGCTGAAATTGTGACTTGGATCTATGCTTTCTCTCCCCATCCCAAGCCAAACGCTAGGTGCCGCGGTCGAAGAACTTTACCGGAGCCTTGCAGACCGAAGGCTGTTTTTAAAAGTCTTTCTAAGTTCGTTGCAGTATAAGACGGTTCAAAGCAATGCCAGATTGTGATAGAAATATCACAGGCATGTAGAGTTCTGTGGGCAAAACACTGAAATGAAATCGATTGAAATTCCACGGTGTCCAGTGCTTATTGTATGAATCGGGTAATCGCACGAATTGTTCTTCATTCAAAGTCAAAACAAAACAAAACAAAACCCCAAACAAACCTAGAATTATCCATCATTCAGGAAATGATGTTTTTCGTTTTAACCCTGAGGGGTTTTGCGCAGAACTTCGATAGCAGCCCAATCAGTGTGATGTGACGTAAACACGGCCCCTTCGACAAAAGCTGAGTGATGGGCATGAGTCTGGATTCTCTCCAGCAAACGTTGAACAGGCAGGTCTGCGGAAGAGAACAGGTGCTTTTTGAAGAAGAATGGCTCGACGCACACTTCTGTTTCATTTAGTGTATGTAAACGATGACCGTCTCCGAAACAGGTCACCTGGCTTTTTCTTTCCTAAATTCCCTCTTTGCTTTTGTAACCTCATCCAGGGATGAAACGATGCACGTGGCTTGTCAGCTTACTAAAGTTCAGATCAGCGTGGCTAGGAGTTGAATCTCAGACTGTCCCCAGGAACAATAATGTCACCCGGCTTGTGCCCAGGCGTACATAGCTTTACTGTGGGGTGCACTTTAACCAAAGTCAGAGGAATTGAGTCTTACTCATCATTCTCACCTGTTTTAGTCTTTGATGTCTGCTTAAATCAGACCACCAAAAAACAAACAAAAAAAAACCCTCCATAAAATCTTATGGAGAGAAATAATAATGACAACTAATATATATTGAGTTCACATTGAGTGATTGAGCTCCAGGAATCACTTTCATTTGATCTTTACTTCGACTCTATCAGATAGATGCTGTTAGTATTCCCATTGGACAGGCAGGAAAACTGAGAACGGAGAGATTAACCTGCCGACGATTCCACAAGGAGCAAGAGGTGGGATTCACACCCAAGCCCTGTGGCTCCGGGAGCCCATGCTGTTTACGATCTTTTAATATATTTTTCTTAATTTTTTTTTAAGGAGAGAGAGAGAGAAACACTGATGTGAGAGAGACACAACAATCAGCTGCCTCCTGCACGCCCCCTCCTGGGGGTCGAGCCCACAACCCTGGCAGGTGCCCTGACCGGGAATCGAACCAGGACCTCTCAGTCTATGTAATGATGCTCAGTCCACTGAGCCACGCCGGCCAGGCCTGGATGGAGACCCTTTAGTTCCATTACAAGTCAGTCCTCCCATAGTGAACACACCCCCCCAACAGAGATCAAGTCCTGATGATAGTAATGTTTCTGTTTTGTTTTGTTTTGTTTCAAACTGGATACAATGATTTTAATTTTGAAAAGAAGATCAAATGGTGGGAATAGCCTGGAAAATTGGAAAGCAACGTTTCGTGAGGTAACATCTTCAGTAGTTGCATTTACTCTAAGGCCAGTGAAGCACAGCAGTCTGTATGGCATCAAATAGACTAGAGAATCCAGATACAAGACAAGTGTATGTGGGCACATGACCTGTGATGGGACATGTTATTTCATTGGGAAAGGGTCATTTGCTGTAAAAATGATACTGGCCTAACTGACCATCCCTGTGTAATAAAAAAAATAAATAGACCTCTCATATTGTATAATAACTAAATTTTGAGAAGTTGAAACTGTAACATTAAAAAATAGAAAGCTTAGAAGGAAATAAAGAAGTTTTCCCTGGCCAGTTTGGCTCAGAGGTTGAGCGTCAGCCTGCAGACCAGAGAGTCCCAGGTTCTGTTCCCGCTAGGGGCACGTACCACAAAAAAAAAAGAAGAAGAAGAAGAAGAAGAAGAAGAAGAAGAAGAAGAAGAAGAAGAAGAAGAAGAAGAAGAAGAAGAAGAAGAAGTTGTTTATGTAATTTAAAGGTTGGCAGTGGAATGGGGGCCTCTTTCAAATTAAAAAACAAGCACAAACTTAGCATCCCTAAATGGAAAGACAGTTTCATTTAGCTAGACAATAATTTGATGGTTTTTTGCAAGACATAATAAGACCCCTCATTCAAAGGTTAGACTTCAAAAGGTAAGATCGGGAAAATACATCTGTAACACCTATCCTAGAAAAAAAGATTATTTTCCCATAACATGCAAAGAACTTCTGATCATTTAATTCTTTGAAGTGTGCCAAGCCTTGACCGGAACTCTGAGAATATTCTGGTTCAAGACGCCAACGACTGGTGGTCCACATATCGGTCAGGCTGACTAGCCACGGTAACCCTTCCGTTTTCCATTTATGTTACAAAGACCAAGGAGCCCCCTGAGTTTGAACTTGGCTCTTTTTTCCGCTCCGCTGAAGGATGGCACCCCCAAAACAAATAGAAGCCCGTGTCTGTGCCACAGCCTTTGCTTGCTTTTGGTTTCTTTGATCTTTTTCTACATCCAGATCAGCCCCCTGTGGTCAGAGGAAACTCATCTAAAACTCTTTACGCCAGCACAGTGCGGGCGAAGTTGTTTGTCAAACGAGCAGTGGTAAGAATTGAACAGCCATGGGCCATCGTTATGAATCAGGACAGTCATCTTCAAGCCCCTGCCCAATGGACAAGGGGCGGGAGGCGATTGTATCACCGCTTTTTGTAAATATACCCAGTGAACGTCTCAGGTGATAACCCTGGAGGCAGCTTCTTTGGCTTTGATTTAAGACAGAACATTTTGGTTAGTCCTCTCTTCTGATTTTTTTTTTCCATTATTATTCCTTCCTGACTTTGATTTTGTATGGGATTACAAATATAGGTAATATATATATCACTTTCTGTAGAAATGGATCTTTTTGAACTTTAAAATCATTGCATGCTAAAGCAAAAATCTATTTCATCAGCCATGATTGCACTTACTTGCTGAACCCTGTGGGTACGGCAGGGAATGGACATGAAACTCAGGCCCTGCTACTGAGAAGCTTGCAGTCTGGCTGGGAGACGAAACACAAATTCTGAAATGACCAGGGAAGAGCACAACCGATGAATCAGGGCGCCATGCGAAGAAGTGGGTTTTTTTTCATGGCCTATGCACAATTTTCTAGGGTCCTTCTCCCCCAAGAGCACCAATGGGTTGCCCCTAAGCCCTTCCAACATAGAGCCGGAAGAGGAAAGGAACATTCCACATGGAATTCTATCGTGAGACGCCGTTTCTTCTGATGCTCAAGTCCATGAGTTGGTTAAACAACCATCCTCTGCTTGCCTCCGTCGAAGCTCTCTGTGCACTTCTTATCTTTGAGGGTGGGGGCGCTGTAACTCTTTCCCTTCTACACTGTGCACAGCGAGACTTAGGAACTCAACTGCGCATCCTCAGACATTGCAAGAGATGATCCTCCAAAACCATCCCGAAAGCAGTTACACATTTCGCGTCCCCACGAATGATGCAAAGCAACGCGTTCTGATGCTTCATTTCATTGCGTTTATGCACGAGAAAGCAATCACCTGCTGCTGCCCACCACCCTGTGGATGCCTGAGGGTGTGGGAACTGTCCTCACGTGTGCTCTGCGTCCTTCAGACCCCGCCCCCCCCACATTGGAGATGACCCACCAAGGTGTGTGTTAGTCTGACAGTTCTGGAAAGTACCAAGACCGAAAGCCAAAGCAAGGAGCCAGCATTGCATTTGGATCCTGGAGGACTACTTGCCCCCAAAGCCTTCAGGGCTGTCTCGTGCCGAAATAGGCCTTTAGGAAGCAACTTAACTGAAAAGTAGACAGAACAAATTTCCAGGCTGTGGGAACTTGAGTTGCTCTGTTCCTGTGTTGTCACCCCGATCCTGAACTTCTCTTTCCTTCCAGGTCACGTGGACACCCCCACTCACCCAGAATGGAGACATGCTCAGCTATGAGATCCGGATGCCCGACCCTCATATCCCAGTAACCAACGTCACCCTCTCCGTGCTAAGCCAAGTCATCACCCATCTGGTTCCGTTCACTGATTACTCGGTCACCGTCGTGGCTTGCTCAGGGGGTAACGGGTATCTCGGAGGGTGCACAGAGAGTTGGCCCACCCATGTTACCACTCACCCCACCCTACCTCAGGAGGTCCGCCCGCTGTCCGCAGCCCCACTAAGTGAATCGTCTGTCGGGGTTTCTTGGCAGCCACCAGCCAGGCCAAATGGACCCAATTTGAGGTAAGAGAAAATGACTGTGCTTGGGGGTTTGCTATGGTCTTCTCTCTCCAGCCGACAGGGGGCTTTTACTCGAGTACAAACACAGACTCAATCCCTCATGGGGTGCCCCCCACTCATAACTTTCATACCGTTTCATAATGTGAATCTTGACTTCTACAGAACCCTAAAAGTTCATCGAGGTAGAAAACTCACAATTTTGTGATGAGCTAGAAGCTCCTGAGCTGACAACCACTGTTGTCTATCAATGTGTGACATAATCCTCCCCTTGATTGTGTATTTTTCTTACATGTTAGGAAGACTTGATGTGTGTTCTTAACGATACATTTGTGCAAATCTGTCTCAAAATTCCAAAGCTAACACGTAGTTCGTTGGCATATTGTTACTGCCTGAAAACTTGTAAGGACTGTGGTCTGGGACACGGATAAGAAGAAAGAATAGAGTCGTGATTCTGAAATGGCTCTGCAACAACCTAAACTTAACCCTTAGCCAAGACTACGGAGTTGATAATATTATCATTGTTTATAAAGTATTGGTGGTTGAAGTCTTAGAAAATCATTAACTTGAGACCCATTTTACATTTCTACTTTGGATGAAACTGGCCATCAAGTGTTGGCAAACCTCACATACAAGAAACCTGACATGTTATCCTTCCCAATGATAGCAGGAAAATGCAAACGTAGTTGATGGTTTCAAAATATCTGAATATTTGAAACTTGAGTCAGGAAAAAAATAATAACCTGGAAAAAACTTTGCCAGCCTAAATTAAGATGTCTTTACGTTGACATGCACCCATCACAGGCTCAGCCCACAAAACAACCTGAATTTTGGTAATAACATGTTGAGATAATCCCCATGTTTCTCTGCTTGTCTTTGGCTTTAGATACGAGCTTCTGAGATGTAAAATCCATCAGCCACTTGCATCGAATCCCCCAGAAGATTTAAATCTGTGGCACAATATTTATTCAGGAACTCAGTGGTTTTATGAAGATAAGGGTCTTAGCAGGTGAGATTACAAAAACTGTAAAAACAAGTGCTGGCATTTGGTTTGGGGCACGTTGAATAGTTCAAAGTACCCTGGTGTCTTCCTCGTGCGGGTGTGTTATCAGTCATGCAATGAAACGTTTGGTTATCATCTGTGGCGTTAATCATCGAGCTGAAACAGTCAGTGTGTTTAATGTTCGCCATCGTAAAATAAGCCTTTGAACTTGAACTTGTAGATGTTTGAGCCTTAACTACTGCCTCTGTCTCAGCTCCATTAAAAACTTAAGAGAGGAATTTGGAGCCCTGGAACATGTATAAAACGGGGGCACTTGTAAAACGCTTGCCATTTCTGGAAAATAGTTGTTATAAGCCATTGATCGACTCCACAAAAATCACTTACTTAACAAGCTTGACACTTGAAAGAATCCGGTCTCCAGTTCCAAGTAATCAACCAGCCGCCGTGTCAGAAGAGCAGAGCATAGGCGAGCCAGGCATTGTGGGTGCTGTTCTGTCCTGCATTAGCAAGTGGCCTTGTGACGGAGGCAAGTCACTTCATGTCTCTGGGCTTCACTTTCGTTGTCTGTACAACCAGGAGATCGGGTGGGATTAAGTGACCGCCACACCTTCACGAGTTCACGCAACATGATCCAATTGTAGAACACCACGGTATCACTTTAGGAAAACTTGGCAGACGCCTTTCTGTCAGGTTGCTTCTGGAGACCCACCACTGACAAGCTCTCCTCTGAATACAGCTCCCAGCTCTGGCCTGTGTCCCACCCCTTCCTCACCGCGTCTCCGCTCGACCTACATTAGCATCCCTCCTGGCTCCCCCATCATGTACCCCTTGCTCGGCCAGCTGCTCCCCATTGCTATCATCTCCTTCAGACTGGTCTTCCTTCAACTCTTGGACTAGAAGTTTCCTATTGGGCTTCCCTTCCCTCTCTTCCTGGTCTGAATCAGCTTCCCCCTTAATGTATTTCCATAGCACCCCCCATACTACTGTGGCCATTGGAATGTCCTGGCCTGGCTACTTGCCTGGACACCCCATGATATTGTCAGGTCCACCATGAGCCAGGGCTCCATCCTCATGATTTCTGGACCCTCCATCCCTGGAACATCATGGGGCATGAAATAGCTGTTCCACAGACGACCAGATAACTCGGCAAATGGTTGGTTAGTTCATTGCTCGGTGCCTTAGGAATACCCGGTGTAGCGCTGTTACCTTTGGGGAATGCGTAGAATCTGAGAAAGTCGCCCGGTTATCGTAGGGGTGCAGTGGAGAGCACGCCGGGTGCCGTAAGGTCCTTGGTGGGAGGCAGCACCTAAGTCCAATGCAGCGTGAGAAACGGCCACGTCTGTAGGTCAGTCACACCAATCAGCATTCCTTTCTGTGCGTGCTCAGCTAGCATGGTCATCGGACTGTTCTCCACGATTTTCAATTCCCTCTTTTTTTCCATCGGGCACTGGCCATGATCACTGCCATGATCACAAGGAGGGAAGACATTCCTTTGGTCAGAAATTGTGTGTTTTGCCTACCGGCACTGTGATAAGGGACAGAGGGCAGATGTAGCACAACCCTTGCTCTCAAAGAGCTCACGGTCTAGTAGACCCTCCCCCCCCACACACACATTAATTACCGTCATCAAGGCTAACTGTAGAGTCACCAGCACTGCCGTAACAAATCACATGGAAAGGGGGCTTTCTATGACCTGTGAACTCGAAGTGCTTACAACACAGCAATCTCCAAGGTAAACAGAACTTGACCAGTTAACATCACTGACCCTGATTTTTAGCCATGTTTGGCAGGAAAACAGAATAAATCTCCGAAGGCTAATGCCATGTCTTCATAGAAGACATGAGAACGTATGAAACCATTAGGACCAAGGACAAAATTTACTATTGACTTTTTTGTGATGCCTCTAAGGGTTTGGAAGGAGAAGCCCACACCTAAAAATGTAAGGAGAGACGTAAAGTTAAATCTCCTCAAATGACATGGAAACACAAGTTGACATCAACTAATTGACGGAAGCTGGTTGTAGAAGGGAAGGGTATGGATAACACTGTGCTTAGCTGATATTTTACTAACTGCATAGTGCTAAATGCCAGGAGACTTCTTTTTTCCTGCTAGGACTAGCCCTTTTTTTTTAATAACTGCTATAACCAGCTTGTGATTTTAATAAAATTACAGTATGCATTTGTTTTTAATATTTAAAATAAATGGTGTGAGTTTCATATTGTGAGAAGGTTTTTGTCCTAGCCCTGTACCCTTTGTAAGTCCCAGAAAGCTAGGGGTCCCTTCAACCCAAGGGGGATTCTCTCATAATTCTGAACAAAACCTGGAGATTGGTCCACTAGGGGGCACTATGGGTTGTGCCAGTTTTTCTGCCGGAAAGAAATGATTTTGTTCTGCAGATGCTGTCATTACCCACCTGGGCAGCTAGCAGCCAGGCTCACGCACCTGTGGGCGGGGTAGCAGTCTCTCAAATCGTCCTGGTCACTCTTCTGTGCATGTGTGTCTCCGCTCCTTACTAGCCTTGTCCTCTGACTTATATTTGCTTATTGACTTGTTTGGTGTGCTGTTTTTTAGGAGGTGGATGTGAGGATGGGTAATTGAATTCAGATGCCTTTAGAGGACTATGTAATGTCCTAGTCTCTCCACACAGACCCCACCCGTGCTTAATTCCTTCTCGACTTGCATAGACGTGACGCGAACATTGTAGTGGTTCTTCCCATCTCGACCAGATATCGCCATAGCTACATCTAGAATCAGTTTTTAAAACAGCACTATAGTTGACATAAAAAGCAATGTTAACTTAAGATTCACTGGGCATTTCTTTAGGAAGGTACTTGTGAGAATTCATATACATCGTCGTCAATATCCATGGTTAAGCCGTCTATTTCGGTTAGATATGTTTATGATACCATATAGACTCACCCACATTAATCTAAAAATGTTAATGTACTCTGAAATTCAAACTATTCTGGTCATTCTTTTTATTCCTTTATCTCTCCATGTTTAAAGTAGAATATTGAACTAATTATCCAGATAATTTAAACAAAAATATTTTTGTTCTCATGTTATCTTAGGTAAGGGGTGATTTCGTCGGATTTACATAGCTAACTGCCTCATTACTGAACTTGCCATTGCGTGTGGACACAAACTCAGTGTAACTCTAGGTTTATAGCGCCTGTTGGTTTCTAACTTTTCCACTTGAATGAGTCTGTGCAAAGCGATCGTGTTATGGTTGTTGGGCGAACCATCGTGTGCACATTTTCATCACTTGGAAAATCTGTTGACCACACTGTTGCCGTGTGATGCTGCTGTGTGGTGCGGGCAGGGTCTAAGAAGAGGTTGGGGACCCTTTCATTTGAAGCATCTGTCCACCCTTGTGATTCTCAGCACCTCAGGGTGCCTTGGGGCTGCAGGGATCGGAATAAGGCACTGAGAACCCAGTGAGGGCCTGTCCTCCTTCCTGTTCTGGATTTGGCAAAGGAAGAACAAGGTATAAGAAATAATAGGTCCTTTTCATCTGGCTTCGAAAGTATTGAAGATTATAATAATTTAGCTGCCATTAAGTTCATAGAGGCATGTTCTTTCTACCTTTTATTCCTTTCAATTATTTATAAATTCCTAAAAGTATTTCTTTTGCAATGACAGTCTGGAAAGAATGCTCCATTCGACTCCTTAAGAACCCACTAATAGAATTATCTTTAAATGGATTCTTGAATAATGCAGGGTTTGGGGTACCACTGACCCCTTGCACAGTCAAAAATCCACATATAACTGTTGACTTCCCCAAAATTTCACTACTAGCCTGCTATTAGCCAAAAGCTTTACCGACAACATAAAGTTGATTAACACGTATTTTGTATATTATCTGTATTATATACTGCATTATTATGAATTACAGAAAAAATGTTATGAGGAAAATTAGAAGGAAGAGAAAATACATTTAAAGTGCTGGAAATCAGTGGTGTAAAGAAAAGGTAGAGACTGTCCATGGAAAATTGAAATCACTACAGGTTTCAGTAGGAGAAAGAGGGTTGCATTTTTGTGTGTTTGCTTATTAATTCACCCACACAAAGGATGCATTGATCCGCACACGGCACCAGCAGAGGTCTGTCTGTCCCATCCCGGCGTGTGTGAGGTTGCACTCATGCCTGTGTTGGGTTGGGGCCGATATGAGGAAGCCAACTGGACAGCCTGCATTTTCAGAAGCATGATTTATATTGGTGACAATATTGACACAAGAATTCTGTTAGGACATCAATAAAGTTGACACATTTTTAATTCTGATGAAAAGAACCTGAGGCATTCAGCGGCTGCTCTGAAGAATAGTATTGGTTCCAAAATCACATCGGACTCCTTGAAGATGTGAGCCTTCAGCCAGCTTGCCTGGACCACTGCTGCTTTCCAGACAAATGTCTTCATGCACAAAACCCCGCCTGTCACCAACAGCTGGCCCAGCTGTTCCCTCTTCTGGGGAGACTCTCTGACCAGACAAGCCTAAATCAGATGCTCTATCTGATGTGTGTTGGGAGAAAAGGGAATAAATACACAAATATTTTAGAGGGTCTCTAAAAATCTAATTTATTTTTATAAAAATGTAGAAGAGAGATCATGTTCATATGTTTTGTATCTCAAATAAATAAATATTTTTTAATTTTTTTCCTTTATTGAGTTTACAGACAGAGGAAGAGAGGGGAGAGGGGGAGAGAGAGACATAGAAACATCAATGAGAGAACATTGATTGACTGCCTCCTGCACGCCCCCCACTGGGGATCAGGCCTACAACCCAGGCATGTGCCCTGACCGGGAATCTAACTGGCGACCTCTTGTTACAGGGGTGGATGACTAACCACTGAGCCACACCAGCCAGGCTCCAATAACTATTTTTGAATGAATGAAAAAACGAATGAAGGAAGGAAATGATGGTATGTCAAACATGAGAGAACAATTTAATTTGCAAAATAAACCACTTTCCAAGTTTCAGTAGGAATCATTTCTCTATTGGACAAGTAGATTTTAGTTTCCTTAATTTATCCAATTTTATGTCACCTAAAAGTTATGAGACTGACAGCTTTAGTAACTATGAAATGTTCTTCATTCATTCATTCATTCTTCATAAAAGTACTCAGTAAGTAAACAGATTAGGCACTTTGTCTTCTAAACAGAACCTAGTTTGCTCATTCACTTGAGTAATAACTGAACCTTGAAATCAATATTCTTCCAGAAATAAGATTTTCATATATATTATCTTTTACAAGGAAAGACACCAGAGTCATATTATAATGCAACCAAGTTTACCTTTTCTGTGCGTTGGTTACAGGGAGGGGCTTGAGGATGGTCTCAAGTTGATCATTTAGAGAGTAACTCTTCTGACAGCTCAGTGTTTCTAAATCCACCTTCACACAACTGGTTTTACGAGTTCTAGTATACACTCAAGATAAGTGTCAATCCACTTTTCAGATTTCAAAAACGGTTCCCTACAGGGTTTGACATGGTACATTTTTTCAAGACACACCTAGGGAACACACTATTTCAAGAAGAAACTGATATACGTCAGTTTTGCATGAGCCTATGAAGTCAATTAATCTAGCGGTTTTCCTTTAAAGATATTCTTTTCTTATCAGCTGCAAGGACTGTCCCATGAGCTATCAATAATTGACATCTAAGCACATCTAAGAAAACAAATACCTGGAGTGAATTTTAAAAGCACTGTAAACACACTAATACATTCTTTTTAAACATGAATTAGGGAAATATCTATAAACGGACATAGTCATAGGTATATACACTTACATAAAGATTGGGTTTCAGAGGCCATGAAAACAGTACAGTCAAGTATTTAAGAGAATTCAAAATATTAGTGCCTTAGGATTTTAACTGAACCATTGAATTCAAAGAAAATGCCGAAGATGAATGCATGACATCAAGTAAAAAGCCTACTGATTTCTCAATGAAGTCAAATCATGAATAGCGGAAAGAATTTAATATTGGAAATTAGGAAAGTAGAGACAGGGTTAGTCATCTTAACTGGTTGTGTATCCTTAGGTACAGCCACTCAACTTCCCAGGGCCTCAGTTTTCTTATCTCTAAAATGGAGCAGCTACGTGGTCACTTGAAACAGATGAACTCTAAAGCCCTCTCTCACTCTAATATTTTAATATTCCTTTGAAAAGAGGCATTTCAATTACATACCTGTGTGTCCTACATTTCTTCCGTGCAGACATAATGTGTATTTCACCATCCCTAAATTACGATGAAATCGCTCAATATACCTCTGGATAAACTAAGGACTTACAGAATGTATTTGCAGTTCACCGATTTAGGGCTAGCCGATGCTGTCGATTTCAGTTATAAAAAAAGAGCCACAAAAACAGCACTTTGAAGCTATGAAGATTACTTATATGAGACATGTGGAAAAAAAATTCAGATTTTGTAGAATAGGCATCCAGACTCTAGCTCGATTTCTTTCAAGCTGTTATGGAGTAAAACACAATTAAAAGTATTTTACTCAGAGAGCTAATGAAGCCAAGGTCACTGGTTCAATTCCCGCGTGAGCCATTAGCTTCGTTTCATTCGATTGGCACAGACTTTCTACCCCCTTAACCCCAACTCACCATCCTTCAAACTCCTACCAGTGGTTACAAAGGAAATTTGGCAAGACTATTTGGATGTGTAAGCAAAAGTCTACCCCCTCAGCTAGAAAAATAACTCAAATTCAAGCCCCAGGGATATGACATCATCCAAGTATGGACAGATCAGATTATCATTATGGTTGTTACAGCTACTGTTGTCTACATCATGCCTTATGGTGACAAGAACAGGCTCTGAGACCAAACTGTCTGGGTTCGAATCTGCACTTGTCCACCTCCTACCTTGATGACTTAGACAAATCATTTAACTCTTTGAGTCCTAGTTTCCTCATTTTCAAAGTAGGTATTATCATGGCACTTTCTAGGGTCCTTGTGAGGAATGAATGAGGGAATGCATGTAGACACTTTCCGACGTACTAAGATACCAGTAAATGCCGTGATTGCTCTCTGTTGTCTTGGTCATGTACACTACTGAACACTTGCTAAAAAGCACATGCGTTCGGCAGCTAAGGGTCCTGTGAACAAACGAGGTGGCTTCAGACAACAGATTTACCTTCCCACTGTTCTGAAGGTCCTGAATCAAGGTATTGCCTGGGCCATGCTCCCCCCAGGCCCTAAAGAAAAATTGTTCCCTGCTTTTCCAGCTGGTGGTGGTCTAGTTCTCCCTTGGCTTGTGGAAACGTAGCTCTGATTTCTGCCCATTTTCACCGGGCCATCATCTCCCTGTGTGTGTCTGTGTCTTTGTATCAAAATGTCTCTCTCCTTTCTCTTATCAAGACATCAGTCCATTGGATTTAAGGCTCTCCCAAATCTAATATGGCCTCATCTGAACTTGATTACATTGCAAAGACCTTATTTCCAAATAAGGTTCCCTCAGCAGGTACCAGGAGTTAGGATTTAAATATATCTTTTGGGGGGGGGGGTCACAATTTAACCCCCTACAACATACAAAGCAGAACGAAACAAGACAGAGAGATACACAGAGAGCTATAGATCTGATGCTAGTACTTATCTGGAGGAAATAGATACATTGTTTCAAAGAAACCACTAAGATTTTACCTGTAGCTACAGTAACAGAGAAACACCCTTAAATGTGGCTGAGGCAGAACCTTGCAGAGTGTCCTTGGGCGGTGATGGGAAACAAGGTAAGGTGAACAGACTTTCCACATAGGTGGTGGCCAAGAGCTCTGAGAATTCCGACATAACTTCCATGAAACTATTTAACATAATCCTGCAAATGGCACCCACCCCTTGTGAGTAATGAGCGTGACTCCTGAGAGAAGCTCAATGGCCCTGCATTGCACGTGAGGCATCCTTGATAATCTATTAAAACCCCGCACGGGTGGTGATGAGCGGAGGCTAGCATTTGCCCTCAGTACTGAATGCCTCCCGGGCCTGGTCATGGGCGGTCCAACGCACTGAAGCTAATTTCTTGGTCCAAGTAATTGCCCCATGAAAACCTGAATGTTTCTCTAAAAAGTGTGAGCCTGCCCAGAGAGTTTGAGCCAAACAAGGCCAGCCTACTAAGCTTCTTCCTGAAGGAGCCAAAGGGGCCGAAGAACGGGCGTCTTTCCTCTGTCATCGATTTCGGATGTGACTTGCAAAGTCTTCATCCCAACATCAGATTTCCTCCCCCTGCAAAGCGAGATTCAGTTCCCACTGCATTAACTCAAGGAAACATCTTCCCACGAAGGCGAAACACAGCTCCTGTGGCCGCCCCCGCGGGGAAAGGTTCACTTCGGTCCAGGTTACAGTTTCATGTGAGGCTTTATCTGCAGGCCCATGAGGTGTGGGGGAAGAAGCAGAGGCAGACAAAGGGAATGGAGATGAGAGAATCTGGTATTTGAAAATGGACGCATTTCCCAAATGGAGAGCAGGGAGCTTGGGCTGCAGGGCAGGAAGTTGCTGGCCAGGCGCCCGCCTCGCTGCATCCTGAAAGGGGCGTCACCCTCGCCCCTTCTGACCCCGGGGGTGAGAAGACAGGACACGCCAGTTTGCGGTCGCAGTCTCTGCTTAGTGTTCCTAAGAACACGTTTTCCTGACAGCGGTAGTGGCTCAAGTGTCACCATAAGACACGTTGTTGTGTAGGAAAGGAAGATACTGGGTTTTGTGAAAGGGCAGGAGAAAAGTATGCATTTTATGCAAAAAATAAAAATAAAAGTACAAAAAAGAACTCCTGTATTTTGGGAGGAATGAGGAAATGATGTGTTCTGTTTCCTGTGAAAGAGGAACTGACGTGTGTCTCTTGACAAAACCTTGCAGGTTCACGACGTACGTGTACAAGGTCATGGTCCACAACAGCGTGGGTTTTACACCCAGCCAGGAGGTGACGGTGACGACATTAGCAGGCCTTCCCCGGAGAGGAGCCAATGTCTCTGCGACTGTCCTTAACTGCACGGCCATAGACGTGAGATGGGATAGACCAAGTAAGAAAGCTTCTCTTGTCTTTATTTTCCCCTTAACACGCCAGTACCACGCGTCCGGTGTGGCTCAGCAGTTGAGCATCAACCCACGCACCACGAGGTCACCAATTCGATTCCCGGTCAGGGCACATGCCCAGGTTGTGGGCCCGATTCCCAGTGGGGGGCCTGCAGGAGGCAGCTGATCAATGTTCTCTCTCATCGATGTTTCTTTCTCCCTCCCACTCCCTTCCTCTCTCTCTAAAATCAATAAAGAAAAAAAAAATGTCAGTACCAACGTGAATCTGAAATGAACACATTACGAAGCCGAAACAACAAGCACTAAGGTCCCTGTGCTATTCATTCTCCAGAGGTCGACTGTCCCTCCCCCTGCTCCATCCTGCTTGGGCTTTTCTCTCCTTTCCGCTGTCCCTTCTGGACTGGGAATGGAGTTTCCAGGCCACGTGGTGGGAATACCCACGGACTCATTCGAAACACCACCACATTGTAGGGGCTCTTTCCTGCAGAGAGCTCGGCTCCCAGATGCTGTCGCTCATCACCCACCAGCCACCCCCATTTCCATGGATGGCAGTAACGTGGATGCGTTTTTCCCAGTGAGTCACCTTCAGCTCTGGTTGTAGACGGACCAGCTCGGGACAGGAGAGTGGAGCCTGGCCGTTGCCATGGACATGCTCAGGCTCACCTGGCCCCACTCAGAACACCTTGCGCAGGCCGCTAGGAGACTTTGCAGGTGGATCTCATCATCCCCTGCAACTTCAGAAAGTCCAATAACTGACATTTCAGATCTACTTGGTCAGTAGAGTAGCATTTAACATCTGAGCTGTTCATTCTTACGGGTCCATTATTACCATCAGAAAAAAAAATTTAAAGATGTATTTATTATGGAAATGTGTATTGTACTCATTCTTAAAAGCATTACTTCAAAGCTGGCAAATAGTGAGTCAAACTTGCTAGAATAGTCCCAAATATTGAGAGATCAGACATGGGAAGCCCCAATTAAAATATGTTTAATGCAAGAAAACTGTACCTACTCGAGTAGTCATCTAGCATTATATAGAAAGATATAAAATTACTCCTGGTTGTGGTTCTGATCCAGTCTTGAGTTTTGTTGCAGCCAAAGAAGACACTGTAACTCTGTAATGCTTCCTATTTTGTCTTAGACCATCTGCGTGAATTTTCCCCAGCGTTATGTTGTATCAATTGCAAATTGAAACCAGTGCTAGGTGACAGTAACTGTAAATTACAGTTAGTACCAGCACACCCTGGCTGGTTTGGCTTAGTGGTTAGAGCATCCGCCTGTGGACTGAAGAGTCTCGGGTTTGATTCGATCAAGGGCATGTACCGCGGTTGCGATTTGATCCCCAGCCCTGGTCGGCATCATGCGAGAGGCAACATCTCTCTCCCATCAATGTTTCTCTCTCTCTCTCTTTCTCCCCCCTTCCCTCCCTCCTACTCTATGTAAAAATCAATGGAAACATACCCTCAGGTGAGGATTTAAAAAAAAATAGTACCAGTAATGTTGATCCACATTGCCACTAAATAACCCAGTTTTACGAAAGATGATCATTCTAGGGTATTTATAAGGTTGCAGTTTTCTAATGATCAGTGTCCCTTCTATTGAAATCTTAAATCAGTTAAAAGGGAGAATATCAGTTCATTGATGCTTATGATTACCATCTGAGACACCTCTGGGAAAAATGCAAAGTTTTATCTGGGGATGGATTCCGATGTCCAGTATCACATATTTTCACTCATCTCCCTCTTCCTCACTACTGGTCCCACTTCCTGGTCACCTTAAAAGCCTCCTCCGGGGATGGATGCCGTCCCCCCAGCTGACATTTGAGTGTTTCTGTGAAGATTCGGCTGCTGACTTTCCACTGGTGTGGGTCTTTATGTTATAATCGCATGCGTGAAGTCAGTGTGCTTATAAAAACTGACAAACCTCATAGATCTGAAGCAGCTCACTGAAGTCTCATTACCGTGGTAATCTGGACCTCCGACCTTCGGGATGGAGGTAGCGCAGTCTGCTGTTATTTCCATCCACACCTTAGACATTTTCCAGATAACTCTCGGTGAGCACCAAGGTTAACTCTTGGAAGCGGGTCAGCGATGCGAAAGCTTGTTACATAATCATTTTCCTCCCTCTTGCAACGTATTAGCCGAAGAAAATTAACTAGCCCCTCCTCTGAGCCAGGGCCACCTACTTCTTGCCATTTGAATATGGTTTTCTTGTTTTGTCGGGTTGTCTGCTGTGCCCAAAGGCACAACATTGTAGATCAAAAGTCATCTGACTACGTTTATAAATATTTGCTTACTAAAAGTCGCCTTTCAAAAATATTGTACAGCCCTGGCCAGTGTGGCTCAACAGTTAGAGCGTCGGCCCACTGGTTCGATTCTGGTCAAAAGCACCTACCTCGGTTTTGAATTGTCCCCGGCCCTGGTTGGGGTCGTACAGGAGGCAGCTACTCGATGTGACCCTTTCACATTGATGTTTCTCTCTATCTTCCTCCCACTCCATCTGAACAAAAGCGGAAGAATGTCCTCAGGTGAGGATGGAAAAAAAATAGTGTTTGATGTATTTGCTAAAACATATTTCTCAGCTACAATCACACACCATGTTGCTTGCAAAGCGTTTCTGGCAGATTTCTACCCATCACCAGTTAACAGGGATAAGTGATCGAGAATTTTACAAGTGCCTGTTATTTATTTTTTAAATATATTTTTTTTCTTTATTGATTTTAGAGGGAGAGGAAAAGAAAGGGAGAGACAGACAGAAACATGGATGAGAGAGAACATAGACTGGCCGCCTCCTGCATGCCCCCCACTGGGGATCGGGCCCACAACCTGGGCACGTGCCCTGACCGGGAATGGAACCTGTGACCTCTTGGTGCAGGGTCGACGCTCAACCACTGAGCCACACCGGCCGGGCACAAGCGCCTGTTTCAAATGTCTGCAGCACTAGGTGACACCCTGCAAAGTAAAAGCACCCCTGAGTTTCTTTGGCTCATTTTAGGGAAAAGAGTACAAAGGCCCGGCCCGCAGGCCGTCTTGCCTGGCCCCCTTCCTCCATCCACTGTTGTGCCTACAGTATTGGAAAAGAGATTTTGCCCACAGTTTAAACATCAGGAGAGTCCACAGAAAGGTGGTGTTTTTGTTTGAAATGATCTGAAAGTTCAAGTGATGGGGTGAAACCGCTTTCCCATTACCGCAGGGAAAACATCCACGGTAAGGTGTGGGGCCGCCCCTTCCGACAGGTCCCATCCGCCCCCATCTCCGGGTCCCCACAGAGGTGTGACGCCCTCCCTCCTGCTTTATCGAATCAAGGAAAAGATTTCAGCCTAAAGCGAAAAGCACAAAGAGAAATGATGGTGGTGTAGAAGGTCACAGTTCTGGAAGGAGAGCTACACACATCATCTGCACTTCAGTGATTCTCACGGTTCTCAGCACAGCCCTGTGCGGTAGCCACTGGGGTCGAGTAGCTCACCCCCAATCTCAGCGAGGCCGGAGCTCTGCCCAAACTCCAACTGAGGGCTCAGGCATCCGATTCCCGGCTGTTTCTCATGCATCTGCCTTCAGAGCTATCGGCACTTTGTCAAGAATGATTGAATAAGATCCGTCTTCTTTCGACGGCTCGCTCTAAAATAAACAGAGAATGAGAAAATACCCACGAGTGTGTGCCTGCCTCTCTAACGAGGTCAGCTACAGCCAGGAAGGAGCAAGAAAATACCCGAGACGGTGAGAGAGGAAAGTATTACCGAAAGAGAGGCAAAGGAAGACATCCGTGCTTCCCACCTCCTCATCCCTCGAGAGTCACCCAGAGATATTCACACCCCGCGTCACTCAGTCCCCTCTGTCTCTCTCTCTCTCTCCTTCCTCTTGCCTCCTCCTCTTTTCCTCTTCTGCCTTCCTCCCTCTTGCCTGTCCTTGTTTCTTCCACAAACATTGATTTAGGACCTTGTGCCCTGGGCACTGGAAACACCAAGGTGAATGACAGAACTCCTGCATTATAATATCTCGGCCAACTATGTGGAGAAGTCGCAAAGTAGGAAGGTGTCACCATTAAAAGAGCGAGTTTCAGCTCACACAAAACACCCACCTCATCTTGGTTTCTCAGTCAGAAACCACTACATTTTGTAGCCAGAAGAGTTTCTGAGATGGTGAAGATCTAGAGAACATAACTGATAGTGATCATCGTCTCTAAGGTGCATAATCTAGTTGCTTTTGCCAGAAAACGTTCCACTGGCCTAACACCTGTTTTAAGTTACTCGGGACTCCATGACAAAGGGGTTCTATATTTGAGAATTTGCCACAGTCGAGGCCACATTTCTGACCAGTGCACGGAGATCATCACCAAAGATGTTTGACCAGGTGCGAAGCTAAGAAAGGGCATTGAATGGAATTGCATCCAGATATTAACATAGTATTTTTGTTCAACTTGAATTTATGGTGCTGATACTGAACAATATTTTTTTTAATGTATTTTTCTTTATTGATTTGAGAGAGAGAGGAAGAGAGAGAGAGAAACATGGATGAGAGAGAACATCAACTGGTTGCCTCCTACATGCCCCCCTACCTGCCCCCCCCTGGGATCGGGCCCACAACCTGAGCATGTGTCCTGACCGGGAATCGAACTGGTGACCTCTTGGTACATGGGTTGATGCTCAACCAGTGAACCACACTGGCCAGGACTGAACTATATTTTCAATATATGGGGTGAAGCAAAAGTAGTTTTACAGTCATTTTTATGGAAAACAATGCAATAATTAATAAATGATACAATAATGAACTCTGTTTTCTGTACTCACAGCTATAAACCTACTTGTGCCCCACCCTGTACCTACCTAGGTACATTAACTGTCACTTGAGAAAAGAGATATCAGATGCATTTAATAAGTGAAATCCATTTGCATTTGTGAGTAGAGTTTGAAAGTAATTCATTAATATTATATCTTGAGGGCTTGAACTTCTAACCAGACTGCTCACTTAAATGAAAAGACAACATGAGCTTCAAATCTAGTCAACTTTCCGCCACCTCTCAGTGATCACAAGTTAATGAGGGGTGCTTCTGAAAGCCCCAGAAAATAGTCCCAACGACAGAGCGCACAGACACTCTCATGACACCAGGGACTGCTGTTCTTGACTAATGTTATCACTGGGAAAATATTAACCCAATAGCCAGCTCCTGCCCAAGCACATAAGGACCACTTATTAACGGTTCTTCCGTTTGGTGACATCAGAGAAGAGAAACATCTCAGTCACCAGAGTTTTCTAAATTAGTTGCTAACGGTTTCTTCTTATAAACTCTTTCAACTTCAGTGGCATACAAAACCTTTTCAACTATTGCCAGAAACAAGGTCAAAGCGGTAGTACACATAGGGGTCTTTTTTCATGATGAGAAGTTCTTAAAAGTAAGTCACATGGTTCTCAAAGCCATCGCCCTTCCTAGAACCATCAGAGCCTGCACATTGGAGACACCGCACTCCAACAACCGCAAAGAGAAATGCCACCTTTCCCCCCCAGTGCTTGGTTGACTAGGTTAGTGCTGCTAACTCCTTCTGACACATACGGTCACATACAATTTTAGGAGGCTGCTGAACCAACAGTCCACCTTCCGGCCCTAACACAGACCCAGGCAAAAGCTGCTGCTTAAGGTCACTAAGGAAACTATCGATGTACGTAGAGCGGTAGGCGACTTCCTACCTAAGGAAAAACGTGGCTGTTTCATGTTTTCCTTTGAAAGCTCTGCAGAAGGAAGAGAACGAGGAGCAGGACGTAGGGAAAGACTGGAGAGACCGGTGGAAGGGGAGCAGACGAGCGGGCTGGTCTCTGAGAGGCTGAGGGTTGGAGGACAATGAGTTATACTTGGGAGGCAGGCAGTGATTGGTCTGGGCGTTCTGTGAGAGCTTGTTACATCACAGAGACACAGTGGACTGGGAGAAAGCAGGAGACCCTTGATGGGAACTCAGACACCATCCGAGGGTTCCACAGAGTGACTCTTTTAAGGAGAAGATGCTAGGTCTGTTGTATCGACAGGATACCCAGCAAAGTTACCAAAGGGCCCTAGAACATTGTTGGGCAGGTGTTGTTCACAAGTTGAAAAAATCCTTTCCTGTTTTAGGATCTGCGCCAGGAAGTGCCCTTATTGGGATGAGCGTCCGCCTCTCTAGGATTGTTACTCAGGCACGGAAGCTGCTCCGTGGATCGCACGTTTTTATTGTGCTGTTAGTTTCCTCTCGGTGATATTTGATAGTTTTGAAGATTAGTTGAATAAGTATAACTAGCATAGCTAAAATATGTAGAGGAAACCGATGAGCCCGGCTGGTGTGGCTCAGTGGTTGAGCACCGACCCCTGCACCAAGAGGTCGCCGGTTCGATTCCAAGTCAGGACACATGCCCAGGTTGTGGGCCTGATCCCCAGTGGGGGGCATGCAGGAGGCGGCCAGTTGATGTTCTCTCTCATTGATGTTTCTATCTCTCTTTCTCTCTCTAAAATAAACAAAAATTTAAAAAACATTTTTTTAAGTAAAGGAAACTGAGGAGTTGACTTTCCTATAAAGGTTTGACTCTATGTAATTAATTATGGGGAAGGGAGAAAAATCAACTTTGTTAAAAAAAAAAAAAAAGTTAAAACCATAAGGGAAGTTCCGCAGACTTCCCTTCGTCAGGAGCAGCAAATAGTAGAGTTTCTTTGGTCTTCCCCCCACTGAGGCTCTTTTTGTCAGCCACACTGATGACGTTCCGTGTTTCTTGTTAACAGCTTTTCAAGACCTCCAAGGTGATGTTGACTATTACACACTTTTTTGGAGCTCCACTGCCTTCAGTGAATCTCTGAAAATCCTCCCAGATGTAAACGCTCATGTCCTTGGCCACTTGGTTCCAAACACGGAGTATCAGATTTCCCTCTGTGTCTACAATGGAGTCCACCGCATCAACAGTGATGTACTGTCCACTACCACTGCCGATGGGGGTGAGTCCAGGCTTCAGGGGACCTGGGCTTCATGGATGCAAATGAAATTGATTGATCCTGGCTGAGGTTGAGCTCAGTCATCCGTCCATTATAAAATTTCCGGTGTGGGAGGGAAGGGGGCCGGGGCTAAAATGCTTAAGTGCTGGCTGTCATCAAGTGGTAGATCAATACGTGGTCCCGTTGAGACAGCAGCCCCAGGCTCTGATAATGGGGTATTAGCCCAGTTTGTTCCTGTTCTTTTCATCGAATGCTGAGTTCACGTCGATACAGGGTGACATTTCGAGACATTACTTTTTTTATAAAAAAAAAAAAAAAGATTTGCTCTCAGAAGCAGTATGCTTTTCAAAGCGACAGCCAAGCCCAGCGAGGGCCCCTCCCTGAGTCACCAGGAATGGTAGGCGCAAGTTCAGCCACGGAGAAAAATAGCCCATGACTCATTTCTAAGCCAGTTAGCAAGGGCGAGGACGCAAGAGAAGCAACTTGTGAATCTGAAATGAGTTTGGAATGGTCTTTCTAATCTTTTTGGCTTTATAAAGTCTCATTATAAACATTATAATATCATTACCTCCCAGGCGAGTGTTCCAGGTCATTAGGAGAACACTTTAAGTGAGGAACCCATTTCCCTTGGTGGTGCCAAAGGTCGACACCTTTTGTTTATAAAATAGAATGGATCACAAGGACAATTTTTCAACTAGTTAAGATGGGTTCTTAAGATAAAAATAGGTCTCCGCGTAGTTATTTCTGACATGCTTGAATAATTGTGTAATTTAACGCCAAGCAAGATTTTTTTCTAAGGTTAGATTTCATCATTACCTATGGTAATCAACATTCAAAATCATTTACATAATGACAATATTGCATTATTGCTTCATATTGCTTGAGTTACAAGCTAGTAACATCAAATGATTTTTCACGTTCCACCAGCCTCAATGTATTTGAGTTTTATTTTATTTTATTTTTTGCTTAAGGAGCGCATTTTCTCCCCCACCCCCACCCCCGGGAGATATGAAATGAAAGGATGGGAGAAGAGACAAAATAATAGATATGTGTTAGTGGCACAGATGGGTGAATAATTTATCATCATATCCCACTGGTCACATAGCATTGAAGATTAGCGCTACGCTGGTGGTAGAAAGTCTTTTACCACCAAGTCTTATGGTTTCTGACTGAGAGTATAATAAGCCAATTTACAGAGGCCTCCAGCTTGTGATAACTTCATCAGAGGAGAGCAACGAACCCTTCGCTAAACCTAAATACTAATCTGCATTTAGTTTAATAAGTGCTTTTTCAGAGACAGCTGGAGTTTGTTCGTTTTTTCCCTTTAATTTCAGAGCCTCGGGGTGTGCTTCCTCCGGAGGTTGACATCATCAACAGCACAGCTGTACGTGTTATCTGGACCTCTCCTTCCGACCTGAACGGCATGGTCACGGAATATTCTCTCTCTGCGAATAATCAGCTCTACAAGACTGGAATGAAGGTGCCGGGGTCTTTCATTCTAGGGGACCTGTCTCCCTTCACCACCTATGACATCCAGGTTCGAACATTGTTTTTGGTCGTTCAGCTGGTGGGTATGTTAAATAAAACCCGTCGGGGTCCGTCTCTAAGTGGGTATCTTCCGTCTTGGTTACAGATGATTTATTTGGTGGTGAAGGGGAGAGAAAAGAGGGACATTGATCAGGATTAGATCTGTGTGCTGTGGGCCAAACACATGAATCTCCGGAGAGAAGAGAATGATAATAATATGGAAAATGATGTGCAGAAGGATGACAGCATTGTACTTGGCAAAATGAAACAAATGGCTTATTAGTGATAAGTCTTGCCGGGCAGTTAGCCTTTTTTTTTTTTTTTGCTGCTACTATTAATGGAATTAAAATCAGAATCAGCCTCTGATTGTGGAGACCTTTCTGGTTTCGGCTATTGACTAATTTAATGACGTCAGGAAAGTTGTGCCCCTCACTTAGTGTTGATTACCTCTTTTGTAAGGGCACAGGGCGAGATGCCTGAAAATATTCCACCCACATCCGTCCTTCTGAACATGGCAAGAAGACATACATGAACATATGGCGGATAAAAACATGTTAAAAATGTGATCGAAGGACGAGAGACATTTATCTGTTGATCACTCAACAAATGACCTATGGGAGAGCAGTTCCTTGTAGACTTTTGTCCCTCGGGCTTCTCAGGGACTCTGTTGAAGTCAGTGTACTCTGCCTTGTGTATCCCCTTAGTGTATGAGAAAGTAAAGGCACACGTTTAGAGAATACCTCCACCCCCTGCAGCCAAACTCACAGACCTCTTTGAGACCCACTCACCTGAAAAGCACAAAAAAATGAGAGAGAGAGAATGCAAGGCATAGACAACAAGGAACTTAATCCTCAAAAAACTGGAAATCTTTAGACTGTTAGCATATAAAAGATAAGAAAGCCAGGTGTGGAAGTGAATGATAAAAACAGTGTTTCAGAAGCTTAATACTTACACAGAAAAGTTGCAATTTAGTAAATTTTAAAATAAACCACGCTACTTCTAAAATTTACGAGAGATTAATAAATACATTTTGGGAGATTTTGAGCACAGAAATTGCATTTGCCACAGAGCAATCTGAGTGGTTCTGTGTTAAAATACCGCCTCTTTCATTTTCCCGTCTCCTTCCCTCGGCACATTGGAAAGTTAAATATACATGATCCCTGGCGTTCCCCTCTCGTACTACTAGGCCTGGGTTCCTAGGAAGACATTTAAAATTTTTTTTTTGTTTTTTAAGAAGAGAAGAAAGGTACATTGATTATTTTTAATTTTACCACGGTTTCCGTGAAGTCACCTGGGTCACCTTAACCCTAGCCCTAACCCTAGCCCTAACCCTAATCCTAGCCCTAACCCTAACACTAACCCTAACCCTAACCCTAGCCCTAACCCTAGCCCTAGCCCTAGCCCTAGCCCTAGCCCTAGCCCTAGCCCTAACCCTAACCCTAACCCTAACCCTAACCCTAGCCCTAGCCCTAGCCCTAGCCCTAGCCCTAGCCCTAACCCTAGCCCTAACCCTAACCCTAACCCTAACCCTCACCTTAACCCTAACCCTAGCCCTAACCCTAACCCTAACCCTAACCCTAACCCTAACCCTAGCCCTAACCCTAGCCCTAGCCCTAGCCCTAGCCCTAGCCCTAACCCTAACCCTAACCCTAACCCTAACCCTAACCCTAACCCTAACCCTAACCCTAGCCCTAACCCTAAGCCTAGCCCTAGCCCTAGCCCTAGCCCTAACCCCTAGCCCTAACCCTAGCCCTAGCCCTAACCCTAGCCCTAAGCCTAGCCCTATGTCTGTGGTTCTTAGAGAGTCCATGTGTGTCTGTAGGTCACAGATCAAACTGTCAAATAAAATGACATTCAAAATAATCAGTAACATAACTTTGTGAACAGGGTAGCCCAGGAAGGTGACCCCAGTGGAGAAAGCGAGAGAATCCTCAAAAGGCAGCGTATTCATTTGCTGTATGGGGACTGGACATACAGCCTGGGGATGGGACCCCCTGGGTGCGGAGGCTGCTCTACTTTCTGGCCTGGGAGCAGGAGTTGAGGCTGAAGTAGGTGGGGTGTGTTCTGTGACAGCTTCACTCATGCCTGCCTGTTGGAGGGGGTCGTGGCCCACAGACCGTGTGTCTGCATCAGGTTTGGAACCTGGAAGACAAGGAAACAAAATACCAAATGAGAGTCTGATACTTAAATGTTGGTGTTAGTGACTAAGAGGTCCTTATTCTGTTTTTGGTACGTGCCCCTAGCGGGAATCGAACCCGGGACTCTCTGGTCCACAGGCCAGCGCTCCAACCACTGAGCCAAACCGGCCAGGGCAGATGTCCTTATTCTTGATAATTACATTTTTGCGAATCTATTCACAGCCCAGGGATAGACACAGGAGACAGTTGCTGCATGGCTGGAAATTTGAATAACAAATTTCAGTAATTTTCATTCATGGTGTCAAAGAGGACTTGGCTCCATTTAAAATATTCACTTAATTGATAGGCTTAGTACTTTAAAATTCTCCATGCTAACCCCCTCTGTAAAACAGCCATTGACTTGAAAGTAGACATATAAATGCATTTAAATAGTAACTTTTTTTAAATGTGTCCATTTGTGTATACAATTCCTTTTTAAAGGGCATGATCATTTTAATTTTGATTTAATTTTATATTTTTAATGTAAATCTTTATATTTGGTTTTCATTCACATGTCATACAATATAGCACCAGAAATATGCCCAAACATGGAGACTGAAATAGAGACTGGTAATATTACCTTAGTAAGAATGAGAACATATTGACATATTTCTCCAAAGTAAAAAAAACAAACAAAAAACTTCCAGTGATTCATTGGAATACACCCAAGTAGTTTAGAACTTAAAGTTATACTTTATATTGAGATGACAACACGTAGACTGTATTAAAGCCCAGATGAGACATCTCCTCTCTCACCAGCTTGATCACATTCCCTGATTTCTCTGACCCTCGATTCACAAACATATAAAAATGGAATTGTGAGGACTCCATGCAATGATCAGTGCAAGTACCCATCTAGTGTTTGGCATGTATTATTTACATAATGAATTCAGTTGAGCTGATTTTGAGTTATCTCATTATTCACTGACTCAAATATTCCCTAATATGTAGGAAGTCTTATTGTCATTAATTCTGCTGCCAGCAAGTCTATTTTAAGTTCATCTACCTTTAGGCTATTTGGGGTTTAAATGAACAGCCTTGATAGTGTTTAAGTATCTACTAAATATTACCCTCAACTACTCTATGGCATAAATAAATGAAAGTCCGTCAGCACTGGGAAAGAAGCCGTTTCCCTTTGGCTGATCCTTCCATGAACACAGTATGATGTCATTTCTTGGATGTTCCAGTAGCAACCTTCCGTACATCCGTTTCTGCCCACCCCCTTGCTGAGGACGATCTTTCTGTCCCGAATGCCTGATGACCCCAAGTGCTAATCTTTAATTACTCCCCTCTCCTTAGCTTGTATTCAGATGAGGGCAGAATTAAAGGAGTAACTGATGACCTTCTGTTGCAATTAAGGTAAAAATACAATTGCACTTGGAATAAATGGATATAAAATAGCTCAGCCATATTGGAAGGCTTCTCTAGGTGTCTGTCTCTGTCTCTCGCTCTCTCCCTCTCTCTCTTTCTCTCTCTCTCCCTCTCTCTCTCTCTTTATTAGACATTAGCATTTAGGCCATTTGTTGCAAAGTGTCAAGACTGCCAGAGGTATCATTATTCTACCTGGTTAGAGATCTGGAGAGGAGCGTACAGTTATGACTATTATGCTAACAAACTGTCCCCAGACATCTTCCATTCCTTACCTGGGTTCCAAACAGATCAATAGGCTAGTCTCTTTCCGAATGGTTGGAAACGGGAACTGAACATCACCATCCAAGTCACTGAATCAATTGTCTGGAGCCCACTCCTGCCCTCTGTTCCGAGCGGGCCCCTCTGGAGTCAATTAACACCAAAAATTAATATTTAATTAAACCCAAGGGTCTGCTAAGAGATGCATGTGAAATGAGGGTGGGTGAGAGTCAGTCATTGGCTCGCTAGACTTTGAGAATAATTGGATTTGTGCTTTTCTAAACTACTATTTGCAGGTCGAAGTCTGCACAAAATACGCCTGTGTGAAAAGCAATGAGACACAGATCACCACTGTGGAAGACACGCCAAGCCATATACCAGCCCCCACAGTTGGTAGCATCACTTCAAGGTACACATTTTTTGTCATTCAATCTAAAGAAGTGGTCACAAGCAATAAAACTCAAAATCAAAGAGATTCCAGTCATAGCCATCTCAATTAATAAGCTGCTATAAATATGTGTGTAAATCAAATTTTGATATATTGTGTTGATCTGCAGCAGACACATCCTATGACATTTAAGCTTTGCTATCCGTCTCCCTATTTGTCCAGCTTTATTGCTCTTTATTTAGTAATCTTTGAACAAATGCTTAAAGCATGAAAGGGTTTCTTTATTTAAATGTGTCCTTCAGTGAATCCTTTTGTGAGACACAGAATACAATTTTAATTAGAATGACTCCCTTCTGACTTAATCTCTTTGAAAATATTAGACTTACATATATCAGATTTCCCTAAAGCTACAAATATCTGTAAAATAAATAGGGGAGATCATGTTTGGATAACCATTTCCAATTTTATCAGGTCCTTGGTAGAATCTCTTTATTTTTCTATATGCTTTTGTTGTTGAGAAATGACCATAAGTTGAATGTGCGTCTCTTTTCAATTCAAAATTAGCAATGACAATATTAAAATAAAATGTAACATTATTTACCTAGCAATGACAATAATATTAAAATAAAATGTAACATTATTTCCCAAGCCAAGTGAGATAACAATTGTTCATTTCTCTACATGAAGTTGAGACTAGAGACAGAAGGCTGCTACTGCTCACATCATACAGAGTGGGCAAAAGTAGGCTTACAGTTGTGAGTATGGGACACACAGAGTTTATTCTTGTATCATTATTAAGTATTGTATTATTTTCCATACTCACAACTGTAAACCTACTTTTTCCCTACCTTGTATTTTTGCTCCAGCCAAATGAATCACCCTTCATCTACACACACACACACACGCATGCGCACACACGTACACACACATGCACACACACAAACACATCACATAGACCCAAACTGACTGAAATAGTCAATCTATTATAAACTATTTCAATTCTGAAGAATTCCTTTATGACATAGTAAAATTTCTAGGTCTTTTAAAAACAATAATAAGTTAATAAACACCTGTATAATTTGAGGGATGAGTAATTAAAATAGTTAGAAAAACCCAAGTAATTGGATTCTTAGCTGTTCCAGGCAAATCACGTCATGTCTTCTTACAGCACAACTTCTGTGGAACACGTGAGAGAGATCTATCTAATTTGGGTGTGTTAATTAGTTGATAATCCCCTCAGCAGATTTCTCCCACCTATCCAGAGGATTATCTACTATCCAGGGGGAAAATAGTCAAATTAAAGGGGCACCAGAGACCTTTATTTATTCTTTTAGCAAACACATTTGTGGCTACAATAATGTAAGAGGCAAAAGTAATACAAAGACGTGTAAGGCATGGGTCTACATTTTCACAGGTCCCATCCGCACTGGGAGACACTGTGCTGGACAGATGTTCATAGAATATTGTGACAGTCACTGCCATGAAAATTTACAATGTGCAAAAAATGCATAAAGAGAAACATACCAAACTCGACCCACAACCATCATGGAAGATGTGACATTTGGGTTCAGTGATAAAGAATTTAAGGAAGAATTATAGTTAGGTCGGTGAAGATTGTTTAATTTCTTGCCTCCCCATGACTCAAGCCCAGGTGAAGGGCATAAGGGACTATAGCTTGGATTTCATATTTATATGTAACTAAAAATAATGTGTAAGCTTTATTAGAAATTGAACCAATGCCCGTATGTGTCTCCGTCTCTAGAATTTTTTTCCCATTAAGGAGATTCTTGCAGACGATAACAGAGGGAAAATATTTTGTAGTTGCGGTTAATGATTGCTTATCCCCAAATATATTAAATCGATGGCAAAGACATTAGAAAGGGTATTAACCAACCGAGCAAGGAGAATGACAGAGGAGATGACAGAGGAGAGGTTTCGACACAATTTTGGAAGCAGTATTTGGCAGGAGAGGCAAACGACTTCGTTCAGTGGAGAAATTGACGACTGAAGTGTCGGTTGGCAGAGGGGGATAATTACATAAAACTAACTAATTTGCCCCGCAGAGAACCTCAGCATCTGAGCTCTTGCAAGCTTTAAGGACCGAGAAGGGGGAGATACGATGAGGTGCAAAGCTGAACTCATAGGATTAGCTAAGACTCTGGGGGGGAAAAAGTGATTGGAAACTATAATTAGTGTTCTCCAGAGTAACAAAACCAAAAGTGAAGACTCAGGAAAGCCCGGACCCAGTTTAAGACCAAAGGTTGGAGACTCAGGGGCCGATGGCGTAAATCAAGCAGATGGAGGGAATCCTTCCGTCCTCCACCTTTTTGATCTGTTCAGACTCTGAACGGATTGAATGATGCCCACCTACTTGGGAAGAGCAACCCGCTTGCTGACTCTACCATTTCAAATGCTAGTCTCACCAGAAGCAACCTGCTGACACGCCAGAAATAAGGTTGCATCAAATATGGGGACACGGTCCTCAAGGTTTTCTACCTCTGGAGTATGCATTCCGGTGTCCGTTTCTCTTCCTCCGTGGGGCATAGTCCCCCACTAAAAGATCGGAAGTTTATTCCCTGCAGAAACTGAACAGAGAGGTACTTCAGATTTAGGGCAACTGAGCACAGTGCAAAGTTGGGATGAACCATGACGAAGGGAAGGACTGTAACGTGAATGATGAGAGTCTCAGCTGCTTCTCCAGCTCTGTTCTCAAAAACAAGTATCTAATCGTAAATGCCGCAGTAGGAAATTGGACATTCTTCTCTAGAAAAGCTTAAATGTCCTGAATAAAATACCTCCAAAAATTAGCAGGAGGATCCCGTAATGGAAAACACATGTATCGGGACATGTATTCGTCAGCAAGCCTCACTCATATATAAAGCTTCCAGCCAGCTTTTTTGGTACCTAACTCTCCAAGACTAAAAGGACCAAAATAAGAGAAATAATTCAGTAGACATGGGGACAATACAAAGGAAGAAACACATTATAATAACCTCAAAGAGATCAAAGAAATACTCTTGATCTATGAAACAAACACACACAATTTACTTGGAAAAAATTAAAGTGGGGGTTGGGGAGAGGACCTCATGAAAATTAAAAGTGTAAAAGTTGAATTAAAACGTTGGCAGAAATGTTAAAGGAAAGTCTCTCAAAGTGCAATAAAAAGCAAAGATGTCAACGCGGGGGTGGGGGGGGGTGGGGAGTAATTATTAAGAAAGTTAGGGAAAAAAATGTCCAGGAAATCTAGTATGTGGATTATAAGGGTTCTAGAAAGAGAGAACAGGAAAAAGAGGGGAGAAAATAAATGATAAGAAAATATCCCAGAACTGCAGTCACTCGTGGGCAGGTTAAGAGTGTGCAGAGAGCAGGATAATCACTGAGAAAAGAGTCACCTCGAGGGATATTATCAGGAAATGTCAAAGTTTAGGAAGTTCCCAGGGAGACAAGGCAGATCACGCACACACTGCACTGGAATTTGATGGCTTCCTCAGACTTCCAAACAGCATCATTCACCGCTAAAATCAGTGCCTCAGAATTCTGAATTAAAAAAACAAACAAACAAAAACCAGTTCGTCTTATTCCATACTCAGGCAAATATTAATTAGAGTTCGGATTAGAATAAAAGCAATTTAAGACATGTGAAGAGAAAAAGTTACCAGCTGACGAGGTGAAAGGAATGGGCTACTTTTTACCATGTGTTAAGCTTCTGGAAAGATCCTTCCTGGATTCCCTGAATTTGTTTATTTTTCAATGATTCTCTTGCGGTTTACAATTTCTTCTTAATTTACACCGCATAAAATACACTCTTCTTTTGCTCCAACTTCTCTGAGTTGTGACGAATGCATGGAGTTGTGTGAATACTACCACAATCAAGAGATAACAAAGTTCATGTCAAAATACTTCTTGCTGCAGGGGTTACGGCCTGCCCCTCCCCACCGCCCCCCAAACTGAGCAAACTCAGCTGTCTTCTAGTCTCTATGGTTTTGGTGGTTTCATACTGCCATGTAAGTGGAATCATGCAACTCGCAGATGGTTCAGTATGGCTTCTTGCACGTAGTATAATGCATGTAAGAGCCATCCCTGTTATGGTACAAATCAATAGTTTGTTACATTTTGTTGCTGAGTAATATTCCATTGTATGACGTTAGCACAGTTCGGGGACAGTGTGGATAGTTTCCGCTTCTTGGTGACTATGACTAAGTTGTTGTAAACATTCAGGTACAGGAAGTAGGAGATCGCCCAGATTTCTCTCCTCTGAGGTTTCACCCACTTTTCCTGAATCTTTGGTTAGAAAGTCGTGGTCTCTTGGGATGTTAGCCTCCCAAGCTACCCCATGGTTACATAGATGGGACTGTTTTAAGGTTAATGAGATGAGAGAAAATAGAGAAAAAATAAACAGGGACTCCCCCCCATACACATACACACAAACACATACTCTTTAGACCATAGGGGCCCCTGTCCCTGGTTCCATTGTTAAGAAAGAAAAAGAAAGAGAGAGAGAGAGGGAGAGGGAGAGGGGGAGGGGGAGGGGGAGGGAGGGAGGAAGATGGATGGATGGATGGATGGATGGATGGATAGATAGATGATAGATCGATAAATATTGATAGATAAATGTTGGTAGATAGATGATAGCTAGACAGACAGACAATTTTTTTCTTAGCATTTTAGATTCCCCCTGGGCCAGGGTTGCCATAGTACAAGGCTGGGATTACCGTCCCAGCAGGGCCCGGGGTGGGGGGAGAACCAAAAACAGGGGTTTTCTTCCCACCCTGCGGCTTGCAAGCATTTTGTGTTCTGGCCGGAAAGTGGGGGTTTTCTCACAGGTGTGTTGGCCCGGGGCACAGTAACATGCTGGGCTGTTCCGGGTTAAGATGGGAGAAGCAGAGGGAACACAATGGGCAAACCCTCTGCAAAGTCTGTTCTTCGAGTTTCGTCTCTGGTCTCCATCTGCCCCTGTTGTTAACTTTGCCGTCTTCACGTGGTGGCTTCCTGTGATGTATGCAGTTATTTCAGTGGGAGTC